ATTTCAACGATAGTATACATTGGGATGATTCTTTTGTTTGTTTTTTTTTCATTATTCTATTTTGATTCGTAAAAAACATATTTATTCAATAAAAAAACAATAAAAATTATTTGAGAGAAAAATAAAAAATGTTAACATCATATTTAAAATCAATAATAAATGTTAATAAATGCAGATTTATATATAAAACAAAAAAAGTATGATAGAAAAACAAATAAAGTTTTTATTATGTTTGTTAATCGTGATACTCCCAAACACCTATATTGAAAGACGATAACTACTATATTTTATCGATAAAGTCATTATTGTGTACTCAAAAAGTGAGTACACTCTAGAATCGATCAGTGTGTCCGGCCGGCCGTTAACACGATAACTTTTGAAAGGAGAGTCCGATCGCGATGAAATTTTCTACACAGTTTAGTCTTAACAATATCTCGGTCGAGTTCGAAGATGAGAAGAATTGGCTGAACTATTGCTGAGTTATTGCAAAAATAGTCATTTTTCCTTATGAGAAGATAGACCCTTCTCTGTTTTCATAAAAAACCTTTCCTATTATAGTCAGATAAAACCCCAACTATTATATACCATTCGATAGAGAATTTCACGAGCTACAAAATGATATATGAAACATAAAGAAACAAGAAAGCTAACTCACCTATTGCAAAGATAATTAATCGGAATTCGGTTCTGTTTTTGTCCACGCTCTATACCGGGTGCTGCAAAAGTTTTGCGACATTGTTTATTTTGTATATATCTCGGCTTGAGAAAATGATAAAGCCTTGATTTTTTTTGGAAAAGATGCGCTATGAAAAGCTCTACAAAAACTGTGTAAAGAGATTCTTATTCACTTGTTCTGATAGTTTTCCCATACTCAATATGAACAACCTACATGATAGTGCTACTTCCCCGCGTATTGAGCATAACAAAAATGTTTGGAAGACGTTTTTTGTTTTGCAATAGGGATTTGTGCATACAGCTTGTGTAGAGCTTTCTACGGTGCATCTTTCAAAAGAAAAATCAAGATGTTATCATTTTCTCAATCCGAGATATATGCAAAACAAAAAAGTCTTCCAAACATTTTTATTATGCTGAAAAGTAGCACTATCATATAGGTTGTTCATATTGAGTGTGGAAAAACCATCAGAACAAGTAAATAGGAGTCTCTTTATACAGTTTTTGTAGAGCTTTTCACGGCGCATCTTTTCAGAACAAAATCAAGACTTTATCATTTTCTCAAGTCGAGATATATGCAAAATAAAAAATGTCGCAAAACTTTTGCAACACCCGGTATGATCCACAATTCGAGCTCTATCTTCCCATCACAGAGATGATAGTTCGAGGTTTTCTAGAATGGAGAACTCGAATCTATGTTCCATTCGCTTCGAAATCCCATTGGTTGAGCAGTGACCAATAGAAATCAAGTTATAGGAAAAACGAGTTTCTTAGGGTAAATCAAGGTGAAAAGTTCAAATCTGAGCTGTATTTGCCTCCAAATCGTATTGGCTGAGCAATAGCCAATAGAAATTAAGTGTTTACAGAAAGAGTTTGTCAGGACAATTTTGATGTCCACACATTCTAGGGTGACTCATCTGTCTCATTCACTTTTTGAAGTACACATAACTCTCGGATTTAAATCCGAGGTTTCCACATTTTTTTTCATGATAATTGTCATGTATATTCCATGATCCAATAGATCGAGAGAATTATTCTTATTTATTATTTAAATTTAAAAACAAAAAAAATCATATTATTCTGGTCAACTGTATTCAGTATCGCTTATTGATGTTGAAGAAAAAGTACTTAATCAATATTTCATAAGTAAACTATTTCATTTTATTGATTTTAATTCAGAAAATAATGAATTGATTAATAATTATATTGTTTTTTTTTCTTTCAAATTGTAGGTGATTCGATCTCTTGATGGTCTTCTTAGCAAACAAATAACAGATCTTAATATTGAAATAAAGGATGCAAATACAAAATCATATGGAAACATGTCAAACATTTTTGTATTGATTTTATCTGTGTGTAAAACAACTGCATAGATTTAAATTTTTGTTATTTTGTTTTTGAACGGAAACATTGGAATCATCTATCTGATTTGCTAGCAACAAGTTTTACATCTTCGACGTTAACTGAATGTTTCTTTCTTGTTGATGCACATTTAGAGTAATTATCAACATTAATTATTCATGTCGAAATAATTTATTATCCGATACGACGCATTGATACCGCAGTTAGATTTCGTTTGATCATCATTTTTATATTATAAACAATCACATTTGATTTGATTTGATTGCATCTTCATAGACGAGACATAAAAATAGTTTTATTTTTCCATTTATTCGTCTAATGATAAATATTGAAGAATTGAAATTCTATTTATTAATTTAAATTTCTGACTCAAATTATAATGATTGTATTCAATTATATGATCAACTTCTTGTTCATATGAATAAAATTAAAAAAAAAATTGCATCTAGTATTCAAAGATTTGTCTACAGATGAGTGACTAATATCAATCTTTCATGGAATTAAGATATTCAATGGAGTTATTCGAAGCGAATATCAACAAGTTGATTCATATATAAATATTCATTCAAGTATGATCCAAGTTAAATGTCAATTCTTTTCCAGAAGATATTTTTTTTTTCTACAGTTCAATGTTTAGCAATGATTGATAAATATTCTTTTCAACATAAATTCTTTAAATATATATATCAATATTTACCATTCATTGAAATCTTACATTATCATAATGATCAACGACAAAAAGACAATCAATATTCATCTACTAGATTGAGAAAATTTTCTCATTCTAAATTTGTTCATCTAAAATTGTTCTATGTAGATTATGCTGAATAAATTGTCTTTGAAAAAACGACTGATCTACCTCGTTTATTGAATCTGCATTAACTATCAATTATTGACGATGATAACAAACTATAATATTTTACCATTGACACAACAAATGTTAAATTTAGTCAAATAAAATGTCTTTATCTAAATATATTGTTGCTTCATTTGAAAAATTTGCTAAAATATATTCCTTTTGTTATAAATTGTTTCAATAAAAGAATATATTTTGTACTAGCGAGAGCCCGTGCATACTGCACGGATGGTTTTTTCCTGTGAAGTTTCACTTCTGTCCTTTAGCCTTAATTGAAAAATAGACAAAAACTCAGTTCGCATTATATATATAGAGAGAGAGATCGTACAGCCTGATACCCTTGCAGACTCATACTCTTGTTGTAGTACTTCTTTTAGCCTTATTCTGTTATTTCCTTATCCCTTATATCCTTTCCAGCTTTATCCATTTATACCATATACCCTTATCCCCTTATACTCTTTTAGTTTTATCCCTTATGCCCATGTAGCCTTAGCCTCTTATGCCCTTCACTCTTATATCCTTATCTCCTTATTCCCTACTCCCTTATAGCCTTGTAGCCCTTGTGGACCTATAGGTACCACAATACAATAGCCCTTGAGGACCTATGGCTTCCTCAATATAATAGTCCTTGAGGACGTATGGGTATCCTCATAGGATAGCCCTTGAGCACCTATGGGTACTCGCATAGGATAGCCCTTGAGGACCCAGACGTACCCCCATAGGATAGTTCCTGCGGACCCAAAGGTACCCCCATAGGAATAGCCCTTGAGGACCCAGGAGTACCCCATCGCATAGTCCCGGAGGACCCAGAGGTACTTCCATATAATAGCCCTTGAAGACTTATGGGTATCTCCATATATTAGCCCTAGAGGGCCCAGGGGTACCTCCATGTAATAGCCCTTGAGGACCTATGGGTATCTCCATATAATAGCTCTAGAGGACCTGTGAGTACTTCCATATAATAGCCCTTGAAGACCCATGAGGGCCCTCATATATAACAGCCCTTACAACCTTCCCCTTATAGCCTTATCTGACCTTTGACCTTTGACCTTTGACCCGGCACAGACAGACAGACACTGAACATTATATATATAGATTTTTTCTATATAATCTTTTTCCCAAGATCGGTAGAAAACGATTAATTTTGTTTTATGTTGAGATATAATACTTTTAAAAAGTATGTTTATATCTTGTCAAGACATTTGTTTTTTGTCATTTCTGCAAAAAAAACATTGATTCGATAGTTTATCGTCATAATACAAATTTCATATGAATTTCTTTGAAATATTGTAATAACAGGACACTTTCATCATTCTCTTTCGCTGTAGAAGACGTTTTTCTTTTTTTTTTATATCAGAATATGATCAGATGAATGTATATAATCAGAATCAAGATCTATCATGGATTATACTATTCTAAAGAGATCACGACTCATCAAAAGCTTGAGTAAGTGACTATATAGGGTGTGAGTGTAGATCTGATCTTCTCTAATAAAACTACACTCACCCACACCCTGATAAACTTCACTTGAAAAACTCCAATGTCAAGAAAATGCTTCTTTACACATATATGAAAGCCACGTGTGGGTTACGTCTTTCATTCTTTGTCAGGGGTTCTAAACATGATTATTTCTCGGTTTTTTATTCTTTTTTTCTGTTTCTTTTTTCACTTACACACACATACCTCCTACATAAAAGTGAGTCTAGAGAAAAGCAAAAAAAAACGAAACATCTGCCTTTTTACTGACACATATTGACATTACATATTGCTTACGACAATTTTCTTGGTCATGGTATCAGTTTTATTTGCAAGTTTCTTTGTCATTGCCGCTATTTTAATTTATATCTACTTAAAACGAGATTATTCTCCATCATTAGATGATCTACCAGGAGTAAAACCACATCTGTTTTTTGGTAATCTAGTCAATTCGGGTATAATGACTGGAAAATCAACATTGACTCAGACCATGCTCGATTATCAACGTTGCTTTGGTGACAAGTTTCAATTTTGGTTCGGTTCACATCGATGTCCAACTTTTTGTCAAATGGAACATGCGCAAACAATATTTTCAGATCGTTATACATTCGAACAATCGCCATTATTTGTTCCAAACTTTGATCTACTTTGCCCCAATGGAATTGGAATGTTGAATGGTGCTAAATGGAAAAGACACATACGAGTTTTGCTACCGATGTTAAAACGAGCAAAAATTATAGGTTATTTAGAAAGAATTGTTCAATGTGCTGATCGTTTTATTGATCGAAATCTTCATTCTAGCCAAGTTCATGGAAATCTTATATCATCCTGTCAGTCATTCACAATGAATGTCATTGGATTGATTGGATTCGACAATGATTTCGATATTCATGTTAATTCATCAATAAAAAAAGCTTTTCAGGATTTGATATCCCATGCCGTATTGCTTGTGAATACACCCTGGATTCCTCGATGGTTAGAAAAAATTTATTTGAAATATAATTGGAACTATCAAAAAGCTTATCGATTGATTCATGAATTGGCAGAAAAACTCGTTGAAGAAGAACAAAACAAACAAAGTGACATAGAAAATGAACGACCAAAGAATCTAATTGCATCATTAGTCTCATCATTGAATGAACAAGCCAATGATGAACATACTTCATCAGGTATAACACGTGCAGAGATGTTTGACGAAATTTTAATGATGATCTTACTTGGTTATGAAACGACATCAACTGCTCTCTCGTGGTTCATATTCTTCGCAAGCAAAAATCCTCAAGTGCAACAACGTATGAAAGACGAATTACGTGAGCATCATCTTTTAATGACTGATGACCTCACAGATGCACCACCGCTAACGTCAGAAAATTTAGCATCACTAACCTATTGTGAATGTGTAACAAAAGAGGTTAGTTTTGTTTTGAAATCTTGGATTATTTTTATTATACTATTTTCTGTATTGAGGTCTTACGTCTGGCTCCAGTCGCTTCACTCACGACACGTATAGCTACTCGTGATACCACTGTTGATAATGTAAAGATTCATCGTGGTCAAACTGTTTTTATCGCTTTACATAACATCAATACTGATGCTCGGTATTGGCATCATGGTGATCCTCGACAATTTTTACCAGAAAGATTTTTAGCTGAAGATCAAAATCACCATCCATTAACGATGATTCCATTTGGTGGTGGACATCGAGCATGTATTGGACAAGAATTAGCTTGGCTAGAATTGAAAACAGTCATTGTCCGATTGATGCAACGTGGTATTACATTCGAAGATACGCCGGAAAATACTGGTGGTTATGACGAACGACTTACCTGTTTTCCAAAAAACTTAGCAGTGCGTGTACACTTCGATAAATATTAATCTTCTACGCTAATGAAACTAAAACTACAGACAAATATTCAACTAATTTTGTTTTGATATTCTTTATATTATGTCAATTCTTGCTTATTCAAGTGCATGAAAATACTAGAATTTCAATGCTTGATCTATTACATCATTGAATGATGTAATTTTTCGAGACACCAATCCTGGCGCGAGAAACCTGATTCGATTTTGATGAATGGTGACTGACTGTTATCCATCTCGACATAAATAATATGCTCATAATTAAAGTAGAGAAGTTTTGATTATTGTAGAGTGAAGAAATAATTCTGATTAGAACTAAAAGTATTATTACTATTACTCATGTGCCGCTGTCCATGCTATTACAAGAGAAAATGAGAAAATAAAATGTATTTAGAGGATTTCATAATAATGTCGCTTCATTGAACGAAATATTAACTCAACTATTATACTTACAGATGGATCTTTCCTCAATGATAGAACTATTAAATGATTTTTTTAAATTATTACTTTCATAATCTTATGATCCACATGCAAAGATGTTTCCTGCACAACAGTCATCGGGAAATAGTGCAGTAAATGCTTTATTATGTAGCAATAATTCAGCAACTGAAGTAATGGGGTTCATAAAATAAAAATGACCATG